AAAGGAAAGGAAAGGAAAGGAAAGGAAAGGAAAGGAAAGGAAAGGAAGAAACATGTTTTGAGAGTAAATAATGGCACCCTGCTAGCTCTTTGCGTTTCGAGTTTTCATCTTGAGGTGTCATTCGTCATAAATTTCTACAGTCTAAAAAGTAGGTATGAAAAAAGAGGGAGAACGTCTTTTTTCTAATCAATAAACCTGATTAAAAAGATACTACGATGATTCTTAAATTTAGATAGATTATAAAGTCATAGCCATCAATGAGACTATAATACAGTTTTTAAAACCTTCCTATCCCTTAATCCTGGCATCTTTTCGCCAGCCTTACTGGTGTCCAGCTGTCACTAGATACAAGCACATTCATGCCTTTGGCTTTGCAAGTGTTGTGTCCCTGCATAGCATGTCATTCTTTCGTCTTCCACTCATAATCCGAAGCCCATATCAAGAGTCTTGACCTCTGGAAATACCACTCAGTACGTCTTGGACTGTGAATTGCATGAGATTTAATTCACTGCAGATCAGAAGCAGTGTTCATCTGTTGTCCCTGGTACAAAACCCACTGCCTGACACATGGTAGGCACACAATAGACATACAGGGTGGTGGTGCATGCCTATAGTCTCAGCATTTGCGGGGTAGAGGCAGGAAGATCAGGAGATTGAGACCAATCTCAGCTACATTGCGAGTTAAAGATCAGCCTGGCACTATGGTTGTATAGAACTTTCTGCTGGATTCAAGCTTTCCCTTTGAAACTAGATTTAAACTTTCACCTTTGCTCCAAGAAGCAAAGGGGGTGTCCACAGCCCCTCTCCAAGGTTGTGTAAACAGGAACAATTGCTGAGAGAGAGAAAACTCTCCTGCTGGTGGCGCAGCCTGCAGGTCAGGCAAGCCAGGCAGCCTTCTTCCATCATCACCCATGCGTGCTGAGATGAACTTTTTAGTGATGCAGTCACATTTGAGTTACTCGTGGGAGATTTATGCCACCTCTTGCTTCTGCTCCTGTAAGTAACCCCAGTAAACTCCCTAGTTCCCTAGGCTAGATGTAGGTGGTATCATTTCTTTGGTCCAGTCATGGGTACTTGATCTAGGATGAATAAATATTATTCATGTCTCTTCAGGAAAAGTAACACAAGAGATACAAGAGACTCTTTCTTAAAACAAATTAAAAAAAAAACAAAAATAAAAATAATTTTAAAAGTTCATCAGGAGAGATGATTTGGGATATCCCAGTAGGTGACATTTTTAACACTTTAAAACATGTTCTTCTCTGCTACACTAGTAATTCTGTCTTCACCACTTACCCCTGCATTCTGGCAATTCGGTCCAGTTTCCGTAGGCTGTGCACGTAACTGTGTCGTTTCCAAACATGGCATGGTGTGGCAAGCATTCAAAGACTGCAATGTCCCGATAGAGAGAGGTGTTCCCAGGTGATGCCTGGTACATCTTCAGGGTTGCAAACTTAGGAGCCTCTGGTGGTGGGCAGGTGACAGCTGCGACAAGAGATCCCCATTATCTCTATGAAAGTAGCTGGGGTTTTGAAATGCACTCTTTGAAGGTAGGTGGATAGCTGTGAGTTTAAGGACAGCCCAGTTTGCATAGACAGTGAGATACTGTCTCTACATAAATAAATACAGACATAAATTCTGTGGGCTGGCAAGATATCTCTGTCTATAAAAACAAATAACTTGCTGCCACAATTGAATGATTGGAGTTCAATGAATGGGACTCACCCAGTGGAAGAGAGAAAGGACTCTCGTATATGTTCTTTGGACCTTTACACATAGGCCAAATGAATAAATGTAACTAAAAAATTAAAACACACTCTTTTCAGAATGAAAGGGAACATGAGAACGAAGTTGAGGAGACATAAACTTTGACAACAGGGCCAGAACAGCCCACTGTTCGTGGCAAGTAAGAAAAAGGCAAATTGAATGTGCCAACTGGTCACAAACTGTGCCAAAGAAGAAAGAGGGGGAGGAGGAGGATGACGGAGAGGTGACGGTAGTGACTGCAGCAGCAATATGTTTGTTTTGGCAGACTTAATTTGACTTTCATGGCCAGTGTTCTACACATCTTTAACCTAAAGGCTACCTTGAAAGATGTTTCTGGAACCTGAAATGTACGGAAGACGTTGCTGAGAGACTATCCTGAAGTACTTGGTGCCATGCTGTTTGTGACATCTGAGTTCTGCCCCTCGTACACATTGCATGTTTTATTAAATACCTCCTGCCTTTGCACTAAACGTATGGAGGCTTACACATACAGGTGCAAGGGCCTAGGACAAAGCAGTGGCTTATCATCCCGCCTTGACAAACAGAGGGTTTCAATGAGTTCAGGGAAAGGTACACCGACATAAAGACCCTGCTGACGAAATGCTACTTAAGGTGACCGATGCCAGTCCTCCCTCTCCCAGTCCTTCTTCTCAGAGAGTGCTCCATGGAGACAGCCTGAGAAAAGAGCTCAGATCACAGCCGAGATGCCTGAAGCAGCACCTACAAGTTAGCAAGAGGTCTGGTGACCGTGTGCACACTCACTCAGGTGAGAATGAATTAAAAGCAGCTTTTCTGTTCTTAACTGGAGGGAAAAAGATGAATTTATGCAATTGGTATAAAGATGCTTTAAAGGGGAGACTATTTACACAAACCACAGTGATCCTTACTATTGATAAAGAACTCAGTTTATCTTTAAGGCATTGTTGTGGTTTGGCTTTAATTGGTTAGGATTTATTTAGAATCACTTTTCTACTTTCCTTTGCCTAGATGGGTGTCGCTGAAAGGTTAAAGGACCACACCCACTGCTATGATGGCTGGGGCCTTGAAGTCAAAGATTAGACTTCTGGGCATCTCAAGGTAGGATACTCAAGAATACTTGTCTCTACAGAAACAGGTCCAAAGCTGTCCCTGACTGCTTCACTGAGCATGACTTGAGTAAGTCATGAGGTCCTTGCTCTTGAGATAGAAGGTGCTTGGTGGCTTACTGTGAAGGGACCTTCTTCATCCCTCTTGGTGGACTCACTGCCTTGGGGCAGAGCTATCACCTTTAGCTGTATAGGTTCAAGATCCAGTATCTGGATCCTCAGTTCACAGTTGTTAAAGATGGGAATGATTCACTGCACTAGTAAATGAAGAAAGAGATGTTTGAAACTACTGCTGGCAGAAGTCCTCCTTGCTGGGAGGGGTGTTGCACCCTAGGGTTAGCAAACTGGTCTAGCCTCTAAAAGACCCTGGCTTGGCTCCCCAGCATGACAGAAAGAAAAAAAACCAAACTATGGCAGACCCTGATGGATCAATGCCAGACCTCGCCTTTGCCAAAACAGTGAGGGAGTTTTGTAATTAACAAACACAGCAGGTACTGGTCCACCAGGTAGCAGATCCATGCGAGTTCATAACCAAAATACGTCTAGCCTGCCACTCAATGGTAAGTTGTTGCCTCTTCTGGAATATAATGATACCAAGCTGAACATCCCCATGAGAGACTGAACATCCATCTCAATGAACCAGGACTGAAGGTCTCTGGGAACAAGGAGCTTCTGGATTGTGGAGCTGGCAGTACTAAAACCAGGAAATTTCTGAACAAACCAACTTGTCCCTTAATTCTCAAGTGGGACCTAGAGACTCACGAGCACAGACAGGAAGCTCTGGGCTCCATCTTCCCTCCTCGGTGCACTTAGCAGACTTGGTTCCATTCAGATAAAACCTGGAAAAGAGAAATGCAATTAACCTGTGAAGTGTCTCCCTGACATCACAACTGTTTTCAGGGATTGCAGTCAAGGTCTTAGATGCAGAAAATCTGGGTGCTACCACTGAGACTCCCGCCCTTAACCCTATTCCTTTGTTTTGAGGCAGGGTCCCACTATGTTCCCAAATAAGAAAACTAAAGGGATCCCCCCACCTTAGTTTCCCCAGTAGCTGCTACTATAATTGTTCCATGTGTTCTTAGGACTCATGGAGTGGTCCAGCCAAAACTTCAGGCAATAAATAAATAAATAAATCACTGGAAGGTGGTGAGTGTAGAGGCCATATCCCTAAATCCTCATTTCCAACCAGGTGGCCAAGTTATCAGTTCCCTACATAAGGCTGAGAACCAGCTCTCTAAAGGACGACAAAAGTGAAGCTGTAATGTTCACTATCTCAATGAATAATGGTGTTTCCACATCTCCATTCCCGAACAAGGATCTTCCAAAGAAATTGTGTACAGCCGTGTGGTGCTTTGAAAGAAAATGGCCCTCAGCGGGAGTGGCGCTATTAGGGAGTGTGACTATGTTGGAGTGGGTATGGCCTAGTTGGAGGAAGTGTGTCACTATGGGGGAGGGCTTTGAGGTCTTCTATGTTCAAGATACTGCCCAGTGTCTCAGCTCACTTCCTGTTGCCTGCAAGATGAAGAACTCTCAGCTACCTCTCCAGCACCATGGTTGCCTGCAAACCACTATGTCCCATCATGATGATAATGGACTGAACCTCTGAACTGTAAGCCACCCAATTAAATGTTTTTCTTTTATAAGAGGTGCTGTGGTCATGATGTCTCTTCACAGCAATAGAAACCCTAACCAAGACAATCCACATGTTCTCAACAGTGTCACATTGATGCCATTTCTTGCACCACCCTCCACAGCATCTCAGTGTTCGTTAAAAACAAGATGAAAATGTGTTTGTATCTGGCAAGCCCCACCCAGAGGTGAACCATAAATACAGAGCAATTGTGATGTGTAGCTGAAGAATCTAGAAGTGGCTCTGTCTGCCCGCTGCTTTGCCTCACTAGAGTCCTTACCCAGGGTTACAAGTAAAACTGATGGTGTTGGGATATTCAAAAGTCGTATAGCGTACAACTCCGTTTTCTAAGATTCCAGCAAAAGGACACACTCTGGCTGCGATTTAAAGAGAAAAACTGGTAAGTTTCTATTGAAGTATGAATATGTAAACTCATGTCCATCCTTGATCCATTAACTACTACCAACTATTCCATGAAAGTGTTTAAAATGAGACAAATAATACGTGTGTATTTGTCTTTATAGCAGTCTAAATGGTGATTGTCATGGGATTGTTTTAATTAGACAAACTAAACCACCAATTTTACTATTATCCAGCCAATAAAATACAGATTATAAAGATTATAGACATATAATATTTTTATAGTATGCTGATAAAAACAGAAAAATAAAAGTATATATATATATTCTCTACAATAATGCAAAAAGCATTGGAAAACATGTTGAAATGACATTATTAGTGATAGAGTTATTGCTGATTTAAAGTGATTTTTCACTAAAATTATGCTTAAGGGCTAGGAGCACAGCCTGATGGTGACACACATTAGCCTACACAAGTCTCTACATTTAATCCCTAGTGCCTCCAAAATCCCACTTAGATTTATAAAAAATAAAGAACAAACACGAATCACTCGCAGAAACATATATAATTATGATAAAGGTCATATGTATATAATCAAAATAATTAGAGCCCTGACTGCTCTACCTAGCTATTTTTACTACTGGACAAGACTGCCAGAAACTCCATCTGGTTGACTGCTTAATATTTTACCATAAAAATTAGGCTCAGCACTAGGTGTGGTGGTTCGCATCTGTAATCCCAGCCATCAGGAGGCAAAGGCAGGAGGATCAGAAGTTCAAGTTCATCTTCAGCTACCTTGTAAGTTTGAGGATAGGCTGGAATACATGGCATCACATTAAAAAAAAAAAAAAAGGCTAACATGATCATAAACCATGTTCTGAGAAATAAATGAAGGCAACCATTTATCATAAAATAATGGGTTCTGAAATGTATACTATCAAAGTGTAACATGTTTATACTTTATTGTAAATGTATAAATATATACATTATTTGGATTCTGTTATACTCAGCTCAGTAAATATTAAATGTGCTTCCATTCTGAGGCAAAGTCCAAAGATATGATGATTTCTCAAACTCTGTTTACCCATGAGTCTCTTTGGCAACAGTTCATCTGTCGCCATTTTAATGTGTGTGTTATGCTTACCCCTCCACTAATCAGCCCAGCAACGCTAGCTTTCTCTCTCTCTCTCTCTCTCTCTCTCTCTCTCTCTCTCTCTCTCTCTTTCTTATCTCTCTCTCTCTTTCTCAGCCCTTATTTAGGTGTCCTCTTTTCTAAATAGTGTTTTGTTGTTGTTGTTATTGTTGTTGTGCACAACCCCCCTAGCCCTGTGCACCCTGAGCAGGAAGAGGTAGCTTTTTTCCCACCAAATGTCCAGAACCCAAACGAGGGGAGAGAAGTTAGGACTCAGAGAACTGGAGCAAAGCTTCAGACTTACGTGTACATTTCAGGGTGTTGATGGGCCACATTCCGGTGAGAGGACATGTAAATCGTCTCATGCCTCCCCGGGACACATAGCCTGGCTTGCAGGAGTAGACAATCTGCTCCCCTGGGTCATAGAACGTTTTTAACGGAACAACCACAGCAAATGGTACTTCATCTGGCTGGGGACAGGCTGAAACAGAACACAAGACAGATGGTTAAAAGAAAAAAATCTCAATCCACATTTTTAAGGTCATCCGGCATGCAAAGAAAGCACGCCAAAAACTGTAGGGCTACCCAGTGCCATACCAAATACTTCCTATGCAAGGTCTCATCTGACCTCAACAAGCATTTGAAGGAGGCCCTACCGGTATTTACATATTACAGGTCCGTGTGCTAGGGCTTAAATTGGCCGAATATCCTGCCAACAAACTTTAAGAACAGCCATATCGGACAGCAAGTACCATTGCCATCTCTCCAGCATCCACTCTGACTTGAAAGTCACCCCAAACCCATGGCTTAGAGATAATACTCTCTCGAAGTCAAGAAGTACTCACTCCGTCCTGCAATGGCAACGTGGCAGAGGAAAGCCGAGAACAAGAGGAGCACCGGGGAAACCATTGTGGGTGCGTCTCACCAGCTCCACCAAAGCAGTGTCCTCTGCTGAAGTGAGACACGCGACTACAGAAGCGCTTAAATATTAAACCATTTCAGGGGTGTACTTTTATTCCTGTAAACAGAGAGCCGTGCTTTGAGAAGAACTGAGAGAACTCTGTTTTTTTTGGTTTTTTTTTTAATCATTCACTCCACTGCCCTGAGTCCATTGTGAAATCCTCGGCGGGTGCTTTCTTCAGCAGAGCACTTTTTTTTTTTCTTAGTAGCACCAATAGTTCAGCATTGCCTCTGATAGAATCCTGATGATTTCCGTCTGGGCCTCTCGTTCTTTTTTTGGTTTTCTGCTCTGTGTTTTGATCTGTGATAGACAGATCACCGAAAGAATGAAGCTCCTGTCCCACTCTGTGTCCTTGACATATGAGGTCATGACAATCTTCTACACTGTTCTTGGGACCAGGGGGACTGCTCAGCTACTCTAAGATCACTGCCTGTGCTTGCAGAGGTCCCAGGTTCTGTTGCCAGCGCCCACAGCAGGTGGCTCACAACCACGTGGAACTCTAGTTCTAGGGGATCTTATATCCTCTTACAACCTTCAAGGATGCCTACACACACAAGGTGCACATACGTTCATAGAGACGCACACATAATACACTTGAATAAATATTACAATAAGTAAAATGACGTTCCACTTGGTACATAGAGGAGCCTAAAGAATACCTTCAAAGAGTACCTTCTATCTTAATGGACCTCAAACTGAACTCAATATCTGCCACAAGAATTGACTAATTTCTTCCTAATTCACCTTTTAGCTGCTCTTCGTAACAAGATCTTCCTGGCCACTCCAATTGTGACAGTGAAGATGTATGTCCTTGACCCCTCAGTCTTCTCGCATGTCAAATCAGCACTTATTCATGCCACATCACACCATATGTCTAGGCATGTTTCTTTTTTAAAGGCTGTCTTAGGTTGCTATGAAATCACAAGTTAGGACTCAGTTGAGTAGAAGAGAAATAGACCGCCACAGAGGATGATGCTTGGGAGATCTCTGGGCAGTCATGCATCCATAGCTCTCTCTAATACACTGTTGGCTCCAAGAGTCATGGATATGCATATGGACAATGGCCGGGTTGTATATGACAGTGGAATTATTATCCACAATCTCTGGAGCAACCAATCTAAGAAGCCATACAATGCACACCTCTGTAGCAATTGGTTCTACAAGAGAAACCCATAATCTGGTGGTTTTCAACCTGTGGGTCACAACCCCTTTGGGGGTCAAATGACACCCGGAAGAGAAGACCATCAGAAAAACAGTTATTTGCATTATTATTCATAACAGTAGCAATATTACAGTTATGAAATAGCAATGGAAATAATTTTATGGCTGGGGGTCACCACAGCATGAGTATTAAAGGGTCGCAGCACTAGGAAGGTTGAGAACCACTGCCCTGACCAATTGTGTAGGACATTCCACATCCAATTAGCCTGCCTCTAGACATGCTGTGCCAACAACCACTCAAGGCTTCTCCCCTCTTTTATATTGCAAAGCCTTCCCACTCCTCTGTTTGATTTTGAGTCTCTACCAAATACGAATGTTGCCAGCTGATTCCTCGGCTTCAGCAAGTTCTGAAAAGCTAACAGCTGCCTCTTGTTAGCTAGGTGGTCTTTTGTATCCACACACCTAAACATCCCCCAGGAGGTTGCTGGAGAAATGCTCCCATCCGGCAGTGATTCTCAGACCAAGCTCCCAAGGAACACTGTGTTCTAATGACAAGGAGAAAAGTGTTTTACGGTACTTCAACTACCGTAAAACAGTGGTGGCCCTGTCTTCCCTGCTGTCCCAAAGAGAAGGATTCTTGCTGGCAGCATAGCTCCTAAGGTCTGCTTTATTAGGAAAGATTCCTATGGCGGGTGCCGATGAGAGGAAACTAATGAAGACAGGAAGGGCCAGGGTGTTCTACATAATGAAGATGGAGAATGGGGCGAAGCCAGTAATGGGGTGGGCATGGAGGGGACATGAGAGAAGTTGGAGGTTGTGATGTAAATATTGCTGGTAAAGTTGTAAACCAAGTGATCTGGCCTTTCAGGGGGCAGTGATGGGAGACTGGGCTTAATGATGCTGGTTAATAGAGGAATTCTCTTGCCTGAGAGAATATTTGCGGAGAATGGAAATTCCTCCCCGTTTTATTTTAGGCTGCTATACTTGAGTACATGCAATTCTCAAACTCATTAAACTGAACTTTTAAGACCCATGTGTCTATTTGATTACAAACCAGTGCACTTCTTTCTTTCTAAAAATACATAGAGTCTGGAGAGAGGGGTCATAGGTTAAGAGCACTGGCTACTTTCCCAAAGAATCTGAGTTGGATTCCCAGCACCCACATGGTGGCTCATAACTGATTCCAGTTCCAGGGGATCTGATGCCCTCTTCTGGCCTCCATGGGTACTGCAAACACATGGTACACAGACACACATTCAGGGGAAACACTTATACACATAAATTAACTTTAAGAATGCTTAATGTCGAACAGGAAGATGGTAACACTATAGTAAGAATATTGGAACTTGAAAAATACGATTTTGGAGTAATCACAAAAATATTTAATCCTTCCAAGAAGTATCAATAGATGGTGGAACTAAGCGATGCAAGTAGAGTGAGAAATGAAACAGTCACACAGCTCTAAAAGTGTTTCTCAGAAAATAATTACTGCAAAGGGGCAAAAGAGGCATTTGTCTGAGGAGAACCTAGCAACCACCATCTTAACCAAGCGATCAAAGTCAAAGTGGCCATGGTAGGACCAACTACCCTGGTGTGCTCCCCATGTTAAAGTGACCGTTAGTGGGACAAGTCTCCCTGGCATGCTCCCTATTTCCTTTGGGGTGCATGAGAGGCCAGTATCTCCTCTGCACTATTCCTGCTAACTCAGAACAACCCGAGTTTCATCACAAGAAAGCCAGGCGGAAGGACGCGGTGCACAATGATTGTCCTATAAATCCTTCGACCAGTGACAACTGTGACAGGCAGAGGAAAGACAGGGGATGGGCGGGGATAAAGCAAGCATGCAGTGTGACCCTGTGGTTGTAAAAGCCTGAGGGGGCACTTGATGGTGTTTGAATGGAAATCTCTGGGTCCAGAGTACCCAGAAGCCTTTGTCCTATCCCTGCAACTTTTCCATACGGTTGAAATGAAAGCTATTTCAAAGTACTTAACAGTTATGTTAAATGTTGTAATTATGAAGACTTTATTTTTAGGACTTCGAAAAGAACAAAGAAGGTATGTTCCTCTTGTGGTTCCCTTGAAAGTCTGACGGATTCTGGACGAGGCTCAGCCATCATCTTTCGCTGTGTACCCAACAGTGAGCCCACCAGGCTCCAGCGTCAAGTTCCAAACCATGGTCACAGGCACGGCCTTGGTGAAAATCGATGGGCCAGAAAGAAAACAAAGGGCATGAGTGTGGGGAAAGGATTTGTCGGGGGGAAGGGGGCGATGGGGCAGAGGGAGATAAGAAACGGTGCGAACTGAGAGCCATCGGGATACATTATATACATCCATGAAGCTGTCAAGGAATAAACTTAATTTAAAAAAAAAAACATCTTCAGTGAATTCTGTGTGAGTTATTATGGGTTTTTGTTTGTTAATTTGAGCACTAGGGACAGAACCATTTTAGGTTTAACTATTTTATTCTATATGCGTGCTTTGCCCGCTTCTATATATGTACATTACTTGTGTGTCTGGTGCTTATAGAAGTCGGAAGAGGGCATCGGCTCTCCAGAAACTTGAATTATGGATGGTTATGAACCACCAAGTGGGTGCTGGGAACCAAACCTCAGTTTTCTGCAGGACCAACAAGTGCTCTTAGGCACTGAGCTGTCCCTCTCTCCAGTTCCACAAAATTCTGTTCTTAGACCACATTGTGATATGAGGCCTCGACGGTTAACTGTGACGTCCCGAAAAGCAATGCAGTGGGTGGCATTTTCTCAGCTGTGTTTGCCTTGCCTCGCTTTCTCTCAAGGGTCTCTGTTCCTGTTTGTTAGCTACTGGCCTGAGGGAAATGATTTAAGAGGGACAGAGACTTTCTCAGGGAACTAAAGTGCCAGAAACTCAAGCCATCAAAACCTCCTCATGCTGGTGGCTTTGGGGTTCTTGCCTTATGAGTTGGATGAATAAAATTATTGGACGTAAAAGACAAGTTACACAGAGAAAAGTTCATTACAAATTCATAGGTGGTTGCTTAAGAAGCAAAGAGGGTGTGGGAAGAGAGAACAGACGGCATCTACAGCAGCAGTGGTCCCAGGAAACAGGGTACCCGTGAGCCTGCTGCCTTGGCGTTGATAAGAATTCACTGGCTGGAGGACCTGGGTTTGAGCTGATAGGCACCGTTCTCATGCCAGATGATTTCCAGTCTCAATCACAGCCTTAGCATAGGCTCCAGGAAAGGGATCTCCTTTAAAGGAAAAGAGATCTATAAAAACCAGGCCCACTTTCTGGTATCTCTTTCCTCTTGCTACAGGGGAACCAGAGATATTTGGACTGAAAGACTTCTGTCATCTCTGTCCTCCAGCTCCAATAAATCCCAAGAGCATTCCCAGCTTTGGGATAAGAAACTGGTCGCTTTTGTTCAGAACCCTAAACCACCGAGCCCATTCCGACTTCCCATTCTCATCAACCCGAAATAGCAGTAACAGGAAAATGAAGAAACAATTCGATCAAACTCAGGCTAGCAGGGGGCCGCATGTGTTCGTGGTTATTTTTATTTCCTGGCTGGTAAAAAAAAAAAATCTTCTCTTTCTACAATTAAATGCTAAGATCATCTGCAAAGTTAATAAATGATGATAATTCTTAGTCCTGGATGGCTTTTTTTTAAGCACTTGAATATGGCTGAGAACTACAAACTGTTCTCAGAGCTCTTCCAAAAATACTTGTGAGGCTGATGGAAAGCCATTGTGGGGAGAGAGATGGGATGGTACCATTCAAGAGTTTCCATTATTCTGTTTAGGGTGTGTGATTCTGTGCAAATTCAGCTCCATGTAGTTTGTCTATTGCTTGTCTTGTTCTCCATATATTTCAGCTCAAATTCC